CTATGCCTAGCACTTTCACTAGGGTTTGAGTGTGGAATCGCAAAACCTGCTATCTCATTACACCTTCCTCTATCTCTCCCACATTTTTATGTCCCCCTAGATGTTTGTGTCAACTATTTCACATTTTTTGTAGGCATAACTGTGCAATAAGAGACAAATAAAGTATGCAAAGCACTTGGGTTTAGTGTGGAATCGCAACACCTGCTATCTCGCTACACCTATCCCCGTCCTGCCCAATTCTGCTGTCTCCCTAAATATAGGTGTGGACGATTTCGCATTTTTTGTATGCACAGAGTGAATGAAGACATGAACAAACAATGTGTAGCACTTTCACTAGTGTTTGAGTGTGGAATCGCAGCACCTGCTATCTTGCTTCACCTACCCTTATCTCGGCAAAATATGGCTTTCCCCATTAATTATTAGTCAACGATTTTACTTCTTTTGTAGGCACCAGAGTGGAAGGAGAGACAAACCAGGTACACAATAGTAACATCTGCTATCTTGCTGCACCTTTCCCTATCTCCCATACATTTCGCTATCCTTCCTAAGTTAGTGTGTACGATTACACATTTTTTGTACGCATAATAGTGCAAGTTGAGGCAAACTAGCTATGCGTAATAATTTTAGTTGTGTTGGTGTACGCAATAGTAACATCTTCTATCTTGCTGCACCTATCCCTATCTCCCCTAAATTGAGAGTGTCAATGATTTCGCTTTTTTTGTATGCTTAACGGTGCAAGAAGAAGGCGTAGCACTTTGGGCAGTGTTTGAGTGTGGAATCGCAACAACTGCTATCTCATCAAAATTTGGCTCTCCCCCTTGATATTGGTGTCAATGATTTTTCATGTTTGAAGGCACAAGAATGAGAGAAGTGACAAATAATCTATGAGTAGCACTTTGACTAGTGTTTGAGTGTAGAATCGCAAAGCCTGCTATCTCGCTACACTATCTCTGCAAAATTTGTCTATCCACCTTACTATTGCATTTAACGATTTTGTAGGCACCAGGGTGGAAGAAGAGACAAATGAGCTATACGTAGTAATTTTACTATGCATTGGCTATCTCGCTGCACCTATCAATATCTTCGCCAAATTGGTCTGTCCCACTGAATATTGCAACAAAACATTGCAAGAAGGGACAAATAAACTATGCGTAGCACTTTATGAATGTGGAATCGCAACACCTGCTATCTCTACTCGTACTTTTATCTCGGCAAAATTTGGCTATCCCCCTTGATATTGGTGGTGAACGATTTTGCATTTTTTGTATGCACCAGAGTTAAAGAAGAGACAAACCAGCTATGCGTAGTAATTTTACTAGCGTTGGAATACATTTGTTATCTTGCTGCATCTATCCCTCCCTATCTCCCCAAAACTTTCGCCATCTATCTTGCTGCAGTTATCACATTTTTGTAGGAACAAGAGTGGAAGAAGAGGCAAATAAACTATGTGTAGCACTTTGACTAGTGTTGTAGTGTGGAATCGTATGTCTCTACACCTATCCCTATCTTCCCTAAATATGGCTCTCCCCCTAATTATTGGTGTCATTTTTCGTAGGCATAATAGTGCAAGAAGAACTATGCCTAGCACTTTGACTAGTGTTTGAGTGTGAAATCGCAACACTTGCTATCTCGCTACACCATACGTCTATTTCGGCACTATTTCGGCAAATCACCCTTATTATTGGTGTCAACGATTTTGCATTTTTTGTAGGCATAACAGTGCAAAAAGAGACAAACAAACTATGCGTAGCACTTTGGCTAATGTTGGAGTGTGGAATTATAACACCTGCTATCTTGCTACATCTATCACCATCTCGGCGATATTTTGTGTACCCCTAAATATTGGTGTCAATGATTTTGAATTTTTTGTTGGCTTAACAGTGCAAGAATAAACTATGCGTAGCACTTTGGCTAGTGTTTTAGTGTGGAATCGCAACAGATGCTATCTCTCTGTGCCTACCTCTGTCTCGGCAAAATTTGCCTGTCCTGGCATTAATATTGGTGTCAACGATTTTGAGAGTGGAAGAAGAGAAAACTCAATGTGTGAAGTACTTCAACTAGTGTTGGAGTGTATCATCTGCGATTTTGCTGTGCCGATCACATTTTTGTTGGCAAAATAGTGGAAGAAGAGACAAACAAACTATGCGTAGCACTTTCACTAGTGTTGGAGTGTAGAATCGTAACAGCTTCTATCTCGCTACACCTACCTCAAGGTCAGCATAATTTGACTATCCCTTTAAGAATGTCAATTAGTCACGCTTAGGAATGTAAACTTCCGTCATTCGTAGGAAGTCTAGCTTCCGCCATGCGCACAGATTCGTAGGAAGTCTGGCTTCGCGCGCAGTCAGTAGAGCGCGCGCATGAGCGGCCTCAGTCGGATAATGATACGGCCGGCGGCGGCCGGCAGGCCAGGCAAAATATGCGCGTGCGCATTTATTTATCCCCTCCCTGGCGCATGCGTGCGCATATTGTTTGTGAATTGTCTCTGGCATGCACCAGACTCGACTAGTATGGACGTCGTTCGCGGTATGCGCGTAGTGCGAGGACCCAACTGGAAATGGGGAAGACAAGATGGAGGCGAGGGTGGAGTTGGAACGGTTGTTGATGTCAATACGCTGAAAAACGCTGAAGTACTCCAGATTTAGAGCGAGTTGTGGTTGTGCAGTGGGACCTAGGGATGAGGTGCAATTATCGTAGTGCCGTTGGTGGGCAATACGATCTTCTCTTGTTGGATAATGACCCTCTTGGTGAGTGGGGGGTGTACAGGATTTACGCATGCGCAGCGAGGGTTTGACGTCTTTTATGTGCTTGTGGTGGGTATTGGGTGAAGAAAGAGGATGATAGTCTTCGAGTTTGATAGGCTTGTGCCAACCTCACCGCTTGCAGCTAAGAATGCATCATTTGTTGGCAATGGTGGCAGAAGAGTTAAATTTGTGCCACGTGCACATGGGTTTTTATAAACCACTGCAGATTGTGTGAAACACGAGCGAAAAAGAAAATATGCTCATAGCAATGGCTACCCTGACTGGTGACTACCTGTTTAGCATGGCACAAGGTGTCGATTCAAGCCACATTATTTACTGTTGCTGCTCACTCATGTAAGAGCACCAACAGCAACCATTTATTAGCAACTCCCAGTTCACAGTCATTGACCTTTGCAGATGGCGTGGATTCCTTGTCTTTATTCCCTGTGGTGGTATGAATGCTCTGTAGAGCTGAAGGCAGTGTATGTTCATTACCCCTATAGGAGTGTTAATCATGCAGTTAGTCGATTAATTTTGCCAGTGTTCACCCTTCACGTTTGCATTCCACCAAAGGTGACTTCATAGCCCATTAGCCTATTGTAGCAAGACCAGACCCTCTCTCGTTTTTTGAGAGGGGGTGCTATGCCAGTCAGAGAGGGCAACACTGTGCATTACCTGTCTCATGTCCTTAGGGAATGCGTCATAATAGCTTTACATTATACGAGGAAGCACACTCATTATTTGCGACAATATAGGGCTTGTTTTTAGGAAACGTTACACGAGCAAGCGATGTCAGTTTGAAGTATGTAGCCATTATTACACATGCTCTTGGTCATCCCTGTATAGTCTCTTTTTTACATTCTTATACCCGTATATAAGAAAGCTTGGCTTCATAAGCATTCATTTGGAACGGTTTAAGTGCATGTAAGTTGTGATAAAAAATTTGCACTTGCTAGCATTTTTACCAACATCGCATAATAGAATGCTGAAGGGTAGTATGTAAGTAAAAAAAAGTAGTATTTATACGGTCTGAATTCATTTGCGGGTGCATGAATAGCATGTGTTCCGTGGGCTTTCACGTACATACTCATAGTACTGGAGGGTTATTCCACCCGTCGTGAGAATTTACACGCTCTTTCCCTTATCACTAAGTATGGTAGTACTTATCACTAAGTGTGGTAGTACTTCGTAAAGAAGTAAATAAAAAATTCTTCGAATTAAAAAGTGTGGAATATAGGGATGCCATAAAAAGCAAGGAGACAAGACAGGGATGACCTAGTGAACGTGATGCAGTAGTACAATGGATGATGGCTACATACTTTTGAACTGACATCGCTTGCTCGTGTAAAATTTCCTCCACACAAGCCCTATATTGTCTCCACCTTTACTGTGAAATGCGAGGACAAGTGAGAAGTGCGAGGACAATGGTGAAAGAATTCAGTATGTAGAACACAGCATCGTAAAACTGGTTAGTTGAGCAAATGTAGAAGTCTTGGAGTTCACACAATGCAGTCACAACTGAAAACCGACCAGATGGGGTTACTTGTCGAATGTACTTATGAAATAAATCATAGCTGTGCATCATACAAGGGAGCACACCCGTACTTTGCAACAATATAGGGCTTGTGTGGAGGACATGAGCAAGCGATGTCAGTTCAAAAAGTATGTAGCCATCATCCATTGTACTACTGTATCACGTTCACTAGGTCATCCCGGTCTTGTCTCCTTGCTTTTTATGGCATCCCTATATTCCACACTTTTTAACTTTTTTATTTAATTGTCTCTCTTCCTTTCAAATGCATGGTGTGTAATAATTTTGGGCTTAAGCCCATAAAAAAGTAACAATAGTGCCGTCATTCACATTACATCATTGCACCAAGTTTCATTGCTGACCGTGGACTGTTCCCCGAAGGAAAGGAATCCCATGAGGCGCCATTCCCACCGCCCCGCGCGCGCGTGTTGGCTAGCGTCACGAGATTTGCATGCAACAAGCACGTTGTATGTGTAATGTAACAAATGTCAATTCATGGCTGTCCTTTGCCGTGCGGTGCTTCGTGACGTTCAGCACAACGTGGCCGACGCGTTCGATCTTCGCCATGATATCCCCTCCGTAATCGGTGTAGGGTAAGAATACTCTCTATCGACCCCCAGCGCAATCAATACCAGCCTCTTCAGCTACCCTCTCAGCCTGTACCGCTGCACTTCCCCGTAGCCGTCTTCGGCAGGTCCTCCACGAAGTTGACCCACCGCGGATATTTATACCGTGCCAGCGCGCTCTTGCAGTGAGCACAGCAGTCTCGCGCCAGCGTCGTCGCACGCGTCCCTGCCTCTTTCAGCACCACGAACGCCTCCGGCTTGATCAGCTCGTCGGCATCGGCGCGCCCCACCACCGCCGCCTCCAGCACGCCGCGGATGCTCGATGAGCCGCCCCTCGATCTCCACCGGCGAGCACCAGATGCCGCCCACCTTCAGCATGTCGTCGCTGCGTCCGCAATACACATAATAGCCTTGGGCGTCCTCGTAGTACGTGTCTCCCGTATTCAGCCAGCCGTCTTCCACCATAGTCTCGGCGGTGCGTTCAGGATTGTGCCAGTAGTGCGTGGCCGTCGAGTCTCCGCGGATTAACAGTCGTCCGGTCTCGCCCGTTGCCACCGCGTCGCCCTCCTCGTCCACGATGCGTGCCTCGTAGCCAGGCACTGGCCTTCCGCTGGTTCCCGGCCGGTAGTCGACCGACGTGTTGGATATAAAGATGTGCAGCGCCTCCGTAGACCCGATCCCGTCCAGGATCAGCGTGCCGGTGCGCTCCTGCCAGCGGCGGAAAATGTCGGCGGGCAGCGCCTCCCCCGCCGACACGCAGCAGCGCAGCGACGACAGGTCGCGCGGAGTCTCGTCCAGCGCCCGCAGCTGCGCCGCATACAGCGTCGGCACCCCGAAGAACAGCGTCGGCTGGTGATTCTCGATGATATCGAAGGTCATCTCCGGCGTGGGGCGCTGCCCGCTCAGCACCGCCGTCGCCCCGGCCCACAGCGGGAAGGTCATGGCGTTGCCCAGCCCGTAGGCGAAGAACAGCTTGGCCGCCGAGAAGCAGACGTCGTCCTCCACCACGCCCAGCGTGTCGGTAGCGTAGTGGACGCAGGTGTGACGATGTCCCGGTGGCGATGCACCGCGCCCTTCGGCCGCCCCGTCGAGCCGGACGAGTACAGCCAGAAGCACTCCGTGTCCGGCGAAGTTGCAGCCGGTTCCAGGATGGCCGACGCCTCTTCCATCATGTCCGACACAGAGCTCGGCCCCTCAGTGCACATTATGAAATTCGGCTGGTGATCGGCCCCGGCAAGCGCTCGCGCCACCTCATCCCGGTACTCGGGCGAGTAGACCAGCCCCGCGCAGTCCGAGTCTTCGATGATGTATCGATAATCGTCCGAGCGCAGCAAGGTATTAAGCGGAATGGGGATCATCCCAGCCTTGATGGCTCCCCAGAACAGGTAGAAGAACTCCGGGCAGTCCTTGACCACCATCAGTACCCGGCCCTCGGATCCCCCGCCAGCGACCGCAGCAGGTTGCCGCAGCGGTTGACCCGCTCCACCAGTTGCGCATAGGTGACCGTCTCGCCGGTGTCGTCGAAGATGATGGCCGTCTTCCAGCCCCGCCCCTCTTCCAGGTGGTGATCGATAAGCGGCACCGCCACGTTGAACACGTCCGGGTACCGGATAGCCGAAGGCGCTGACACTGCCATCAACTTCAACAGTATGCTGCTTCATAGTCCTTCTCCTGTATACGGGACCGCTGGTCACCCGAACCGCACGTACTCGAAGTCCCAGGGCTTGCCGTCGATACCCCGCACAGGCGGCGCGATCCAGCCCGCGATCTTCCCCGGCTCGATCACCCGGCGCATCAGCGAGTCCACGTAGGCCATGTCCTCGCCGTGGGCAGCCAGTCCGACACGCCGGTCTGCCACTCCTCCTCGCCGATCACCCGCCCGTCCGGGGACACCCGCACGCCCGCAGCGTTGCCGATTTGCCGGTTGAAGAACCGGTGGGGAAGCTCCAGTTTGAAGTCCACACCCAGCGCCTCCAGCGCCCGGTTCCAGCGGTCCAGTCCCCGCTGCGAGTCCTTGATGTAGTCGTCGCGCAGCCGTTCGTTCACCGCCCCCAGCGCTGACAACTCCTCACGGCTATGCGCCCGTCTCGTACCGTATGCACCGGCCAGAGGTCCTCCGTTAGGCGATGGTCGTCATCGATACGCGACTCCAGGTACCGTCCCTTGAGCCCCGTCGTGAAGTAGTGGCGGCGTTGGTCGACACCTCCTGCCCGAACAGGTCCACCGACACGCTGTAGTGGAAGTTGATGTACTTCTGCACCGTCGGCAGTCGATAACGCCCGCCTCGCGCAGTCGCTCCGGGTCGTCGGTGCCCAGTTCGTTCATCACCTCGCCCGTCCTTTGCACCACCCGCATCACCCCGTCTCGCCCACGAACATGTGGTGCGCTTCCTCGGTGAGCATGAAGCGGCAGGTGCGCGACAGCGGGTCGAACGACTCCGCCAGCGCCGCCAGCTGGTACTTGCCGTCCCGGTCGGTGAAGAACGTGAACATCAGGTACGACAGCCGTTGGGCGTCTCCTCGTTGAAGGCCCCCAGGATGCGCGGACGGTCGGCGTCTCCCGAGTGACGCTCCAGCATCGCTTCGGCCTCCTCGCGCCCGTCCCGGCCGAAGTATGCGTGCAGCAGGTAGACCATCGCCCACAGGTGGCGCCCTTCCTCCACGTTGATCTGGAACAGGTTGCGCAGGTCGTAGAGCGATGGGCAGGTCAGCCCCAGCCGCCGCTGCTGCTCCACCGACGCCGGCTCCGTGTCGCCCTGCGTCACGATCAGCCGACGCAACGGTGCCCGATACTCTCCCGGGACCTCCTGCCAAACCGGCTCGCCCCGGTGGTCGCCGAACGAAATCACCCGGTCGCTGTCGGGCTTCGCCAGGAAAATCCCCCACCGGTACTCCGGCATCTTGACGAAGCCGAAGTTGGCCCATCCGTCCGTCTCCACGCTGATCGCGGTGCGCAGGTACACGTCAAAGTTCGTGGATCCGTCGGGCCCCATGTCGTGCCACCACTTCATGTAGTTGGCCTGCCACGACTCCAGCGCCCGTTGCAGCCGTCGGTTATCCGACAGCCCCACGTTGTTGGGGATCCTGTCTGTGTATTGTGATCTCGATGGTCTTCCTTCACGCTTGACCGCTCTCTCGGGAAGAGCAATGTCGCTCACACCCGCCGCCGGTCGAACTCCGCTCGCGCCCGGTGCCGTAGGCCTGCAGCGCGCCCTGCGTCCCGACGCGTTGGGACGCTGGAAGATCCAGTTCTGCCACGCGCTGAGCCGTCCGAAGATCTTGCTCTCCAGCGTCTCCGGCCCTCCGAAGCGCAGGTTGGCCTCCATCCCGGTCAGCGCGTCCGGCGAGAAACTCGCCCGCTCCTCCAGCGCCAACGTACTTCGTCCTCCCAGTCGATATCGTCGGGAATGAACGTTACCAGGCCCAGATCGTGCGCTGCCTCCGCGTCCAGGTCGCGCCCGATGTGGTCCCTCAATTCCTCTGGGTCCAGGAACCGCCCTTCTGCCCGTGTCACGCCGTTAACCATCGGCAGCGGCCCGAAGTTCATTTCTGTGAGCCGAACCGTGGGAGCCTCTTCGTCGTCATCCAGAACGCCATCCAGCATGTAGCAACGGTCGGCGGCCAGCGCCAGTTCCAGCAGAGTTCCCGCGAAACAGCTTCCTGGCTCCACCAGGGCCACGAGAGATCGCGAGCTCACGTCCAGCCGCTTGAGAGTGCGCTTCAGGTATAGCGTGATCTCTCGCGCCAGCCAGTCTTCGCCTATCGAAAGCAGCAGGTCATCGTACGCCTGCACCAGCGCTGCGTCGCCCTTGGTGCGGAAACACCCAGGTGCCCACTTCGCCCTCATTGGTTCGCAGGTGAAGAATCGCGTCGTCCAATTCCCGCGCCAGCGCCAGCGGCCAGAACCGCACGCTCTCGGCATGTAGGCCATCAACTCCATCCGGCGGTGCGGAGTCGGGCCCGCGAATGTCGAAGAACGCCGCCCCAAGTTGACGTTCAATCTCCACGTCGACGTACTCGTAAGACACACCGTCTTCGGAGAACTCCCGTCCGAGCGGTGTCAGCTCGATACCTTTTCCGGCCGCCGGACGCTCCCCTGCCCCAGCGAGCGACAACGCCCGTTCCGCCACCGATTGCTCAAAGCGCGAACGCGGTGCCAGCTCGTCCACCAGCCGCCACTCCACGGCGCGGCTCCCCCGCACCCCCTCCGACGCCGTGCAGAGAAGTCGGCGTGGTCGCGGCGTACCCTCCTCTTGTCCACCAGCCGCGTCAAGCCGCCGGTGCCGGGCAGCACCGCCAGCAGAGGCAGCTCCGGCAGCGCCACGGTGCTCGACCCGTCGTCTATCAGGATGATGTGGTCGCAGGCCAGCGCCAGCTCATAGCCGCCGCCTGCCGCTGGCCAATTGACCGCGCATATGTACCGCTGCCCGGAATGCGCACTGGCGTCTTCGATGGAGTTCCGCGTCTCATTGGTGAACTTGCAGAAGTTCACCTTCAGCGCGTGGTCCGCCTGTGCCAGCATGCGAATGTTCGCTCCGGCGCAGAACACCGGTCGTGGCCCGACGTCACCACCACCGCGCCCACCTCAGGGTGCTCGAACCGCAGCCGCTGCACCGCGTCATAAAGTTCGATGTCCACGCCAAGGTCGTAGGAGTTCAGCTTCAGCTCGTAGCCGGGATACAGCGGTGCGTCCTCTTGGACCTGCATCGTCAACCGGGCAACGGTGTCATCCACCTCCAGCCGCCAGTGCCGGTATTCCTCCGGCGAGGTGGCAAAGTCGATCCGCTGATTTACCTGTGAAGCGGCTGGCGTGGCAGTGTCTGGAGATGCCATGACCTTCCTGACAATGATGTAATTATTAATATCATTGTAACAAAGCCGAGACGGCCAAGGGGTTGGTCCTATCGCCGCCGGTAATCCGGCTCACGCGCCTCGCGTATCGCCGCCAGAGCCTCCGGATGGTCCGGCGACGCCATTGCGATGACCTGTCGCCGCAGGTATTCCTCGAAGAACTGCGCATGGGTGTAGTCCTGGAAGGCCGAAAGCATCAACTTGGTCTGCCGAGCCCCCTCCGAGCTGATGGACAAGTAGTGTTGAGTGAGTGCCTCAACTTCGGAGTCGAAGCTGTCCGGCTCCACCACGTAGTCCACCAGGCCGATGCGCAGCGCTTCTCGTCCGTCCACGTTCTCGCCCGAAAGCGCCATCCGCTTGGCCCGGCCCAGCCCGATGTACCGCGGCAGCCGGTACGTCCCCAGCCCTGGGATGAATCCCTCTTTCGCCGCAGGCAGTCCCAGCTGGCAGTCGGAAGTGGCAATTCGTATGTCGCAAGCCAGCGGGAGTTGCAGCCCGCCCCCCAGCGCGTATCCCTGGATTGCACAAAGCACCAGCTTGTCCGACAGTTCCAGCAGCCGTAGTGCCCGGTCCCAGTGGTCGAAGTAAGCGTGGGCGTCTCTCCCGCTGCCAGTTCCTTCAGGTCTATCCCACTACAGAAGGCCCGCCCTGCCCCACGGATGAGCACCGCCCGCGCCGTCGGATCGTCGTGGATTGCTTGCGCTGCCTCGAGTAGTTCCACCACGCCCCGATAGTTCACTGCATTCAGCGCCTGTGGTCGGTTCAGCGTGAGTCGTATCAGATCGCCGTCGCTCTCATAGAGCATCGTCTCGAGGTTCATGGTCCCCACTCCGTTGCTAGAGCCTCCGGTTGTCGACAATCCGCACTGCCTTCCCTTCGCTGCGAGGAAGTTGACGCGGCGGGAACATTTCTAAGCGACACCGACACCAGGACGTCTCGCTCACTTATATCCTCGCGCGCTATGCAACGCCGCTGTCAGGTTCCGCTCCGCAGCGCTTGCGGCATCCCCGTCCCGGTGCAGGTCCTCCGACGCCTCAACCCGGACGGTGAGCTCGTCCATCCGAGACTCGTTCCGCTCCAGATGCAGCTCGTAATGAGGCTCCAGTCCTTTGGTCTGGAGAAGCGTCGCCTCAATCTGCGACGGAAAGACGTTCACTCCCCGGATGATCAGCATATCGTCGGTTCGGCCCAGCGGCTTGCTCATCCGGACCGTCGTTCGTCCACAGTCGCATTGGCCCTGCATAAGCCTCGTCAAGTCGCCGGTCCGGTACCGCAGCAGCGGCAGCGCCCTCTTGGGAGTTCGCCCGTAAGCACCAGCTCGCCAGTTTCACCGTCGGGAAGAGGCGCCCCTGTTCGGGGGTCGATCATTCCGGAAGGAAAATGGTACTTCGCCAGGATAAGAAGCGGAGAAGAGACATACGGAAGCACGGTGAAAGAAATAGAATGTAAAGTCGAGAGAACGTACAGGGGGACAGAGGACAGCGGGAAGGACACTCCATCGCCACCGCCGGCCCCATCACCTCGACAGCCCGTATATGTCCAGCGCGTATGCTAGCGCGCCTCTATCTCCGAACGCATCTCCTCCGACAGGGCTCGGCACGAACACTCCAGCCTCAGCCGGCTCAGGTCCGCCCCGGCCTCCGCAGCCTGCTCCCCGATCAGCAGCGAATACGAAGGTGTGCAGCACAGCACGGTCGCCCCGAAGTCCTGCGCCAGTTCCACCTGCCGCCGCGTGTTCCCCGCCGACACCGGCACCACCGTCGCCCCAGCCGTTCGCCGCCGTGTGCAGCCCCAGCCCGCCGGTAAACAGCCCGTAGCCGTATGCAACATGAATGACGTCGTTCCGGTCCGCCCCCGCGATGCTCAACGCCCGGGCCACCAGGTCGGCCCACATTGCCACATCATTGGCGGTGTACCCCACCACCGTCATTTTCCCCGTTGTCCCGCTGCACAGAGCATTGATCCGCACCACTTCAGACAACGGCACCGCGAACAGCCCGTAGGGATAATGGTCGCGAAGGTCCTGCTTCACCGTGAACGGTAGCTTGGCCAGGTCATCAACGGTCCGCACGTCCTCCGGCCCCAAGTCCGCAGGCCCCAGCCGCTCCCGGTAAAGCGCCACATTCAAGCCCGCGTGCGCCACGCAGTCCCGCAGCCGCCCCGCCTGCAGCGCAGCCATCTCATCCGCGAAACTTGCTCGACTTTGTCCCAGACCGCAGTAGGCAACTCTCTTCTCCCCGGCGAGGTTTGGCCAGTATACTCCATCACTATCGGTTAAAATGTAACTGACCAGACCCCAGAAAATTCCCGCTCACCGTGCTATCCACAGTCGAAAAACTATCCGGGGCCGTCATGACAACTACAAAGACTCAGCTTCCTCCAATGCGGCCGTCACCCCCAGGAATGCGAGGCCTTGGTCGCCGCCGGAATCATCGCCGACGGCGAGCAGTCCAGCGTGCTGTCCGGCACTCGTCTCTTCAACGTGGACGAGTACCTCGACATGGAAAAAGCAGGCATCCTCCACGAAGACGACCGCATTGAACTCATGGACGGAAAGATTATTGTTATGGCCCCAATAGGCGACCCTCACGAAGTCGGCACCGACTGGCTTACCATGCTCCTTGCTCCCGCCTTGGCAGGACGTGCCATTGTGCGAGTTCAGGGGTCCATTAGGCTGAATGACCGTAGTGCACCGCGGCCTGACGTCTCTATAGTTAGGCTACGCTCCGTTACAGAAGTCGCTCCCTACCACTCGCCCGACATTCACTTCGTCATCGAACTCGCAGACAGTTCGCTCAGCTACGACACCGGCGCCAAGCTGGCCCGCTACGCCGCCGCAGGCATCCCCGAAGTGTGGGTCGCCAACCTGCGCACCAGCGAGGTAACCTCGTACGCCGACCCCTTGGCTCCACCTACGCCTCCTCCCACACCTATCGCTCAGGCGACGGCATCAGCCCCTGCGCCTTTCCCGACGTCATCCTCGCCATTGACGACTTCATGCCCCCCGCCACCGAAGGTCGCGACGTGCAGTAGCGCCGTTTGACCTCCTCCGCCCCCCGACCCTAGAATACTCCGCGACCGCAATTCTCAGACCGCGACGGTGCCGCCTTGCCCGTATCCTCCGCCAACTCCAGGGTCATCTACGACGCCCTCAAGGATGCCAACGTCAGCATCATCTCCGCCCTGCCCGAGACCTGGCTGGTCCACCTCGTCAGCATGGCCGACGACGACCCCGAGGTAACCCTCGTCCGTCTCAACAAGGAAGAGGAAGGTGTGGGCATTTCCGCCGGCGCCCACCTCGCCGGCAAGAAATCGGCCATGCTGATGCAGAACCACGGCCTCCTGACCTCCATCAACGGCATCGTGTCGCTGGCCCAGCTCTACCGCATCCCCCTGCTGATGCTCATCAGCTACCGCGGCGAGATGGGCGAGCGTGACCCGTGGCAGACCGAGGGCGGGCTGGTGACCGAACGCGTCCTGGACGCCCTTGGCATCATGTACCGCAAGATGGCCGACCCGGCGCTCGTGGCCCGCGACATCCGGCAGGCCCAGACCCTCGCGGAAAGCTCGCTGCGCCCGGTGGCGCTGCTGCTCACCCGCGAACTGATGTGGGAGGACTGACCATGCTGCGGCCTGAATACCCGGCACTCGAGAACTGCGTTTATTTCGCCGCGGAATGGGAGAAGAAATGATGTTACGGGAGGACGCGCTCCGGGCCATCTATCCCCGCCTCAAGGACCAGGTGGTCGTCACCATCATGGGCGCCGTGGCCGTCGAGCTGTACAACTGCGGGCACCGCCCCAACTTCTTCTACCTTGAGCACGGCATGGGCTTGGCGTCCTCCATGGGCCTCGGCCTCGCCCTCTCTCTCGAACAGCAGGTCACCGTCCTTGACGGCGACGCCTCCCTGCTGATGAACCTCGGCACCCTCAGCACCATGGCCCGCTACAGTCCGCCCAACCTGACCCACATCGTCTTCGACAACGAGAGCCTGCTGTCCGTCGGGGGTTTCCCTTCCGCCACCACCACCGGCACCGACCTCGCTGGCGTTGCTCGTGAGGCAGGCGTGGAGCACGTAGAGAAGGCCGACACCGTCGAGGCCCTCGAGGAGGCCTACGCCGCCGCCTCAGACCGACACGGCCTCTCGGTAATCACTCCAAGGTCGAGGCCGTCGTCCCGCCTCCTTTGCAATGACATCGGCCTCCTCGAAACCGCTTCGAGTTCGCCCGCCACCTGCGCAGCCTGAGCTAGAGCGCCGCCTCCGCCACTCGCTCCAGATCCTCCAGCGTCTCGCGCTCTCCCCGGGTGGTCAGCATGTGCACGATGTGGTCGGCCCCGGCGTCGAAGAACCGCCGGTTCTGCTCCCGGTCCGGCGGCGCGTCCCACATCGTGATGTTCAGCATTGACGGGTCCCGCCCGTTGGCCCTGAACAGCTCCTCGATGTGGCTCCGCGCTTCGGGCAGCTTGCCCGGATCGTTGTACACCGACGTGTTTCGCGCCCGCGGTAGCCAGCCGTCGCCGTAGTCCGCCACCCGCTGCGCCGCGCGCTGCAGTTCCCCGCCGATCATCACTGGCGGATGGGGCTGCTGCACCGGTTTTGGGTTGCAGATAATGGGTGGGAAGTCCACCCACCTTCCGTGAAATTCCGACACCTGCTCGGTCCATAGCTCCTTCATCGCATACACGTACTCCCGCGTCTGTGCCCATCGCCTCGGGAAGTCGCGACCCAGCACTCGCTCGCCCTGCCAGCATCCCGCCCCGATCCCGAAGATGAACCGTCCACCCGACACCAGGTCCAGCGTCGCCACCTCCTTGGCCAGACGGATTGGGTTGCGCTCCGGCACCAGGCAGATGCCCGTCCCCAGCCTGACCTTCGTCGTCGCCGACGCGGCAGCTGCCAGGTAGACCATCGGGTCCATGATCTGGTTGATGCGACCGTCCGAATATGCGCTCGGCGCCCCTGCTGCTGCACCAGCAGACCCGACGCTGAAATCCGCAGGCACCACCCGTGCTCCGGCGCCCAAAGCGAATCGAACCCAAGCTCTTCCACCTTCCGCGCCAGCCCCACGATGTCAAAATCGTGCTCTGTCAGCAGCAGGCATATCCCAACGCTAGCCATGGACCACCTCGCTCCACCTGAGTTGCTCGACCCTATCGGGCCATTTCATTGGTAGGGGCAATGGGCCGTCCAACCTCAGAGCATGTTGCCAGTGGCCCCTGACGACAGGGAACCACTGTGGGCAGCAACGCGCTCCTGGTGTTCCCTTCCACTGGCGTTTTTGAAGACCTCCCCAAGCGCACCCCACTCGACTCCCGCATCCAGCAACCGCCTCTCGGTAACCTCCCACGCCGCCGGCGCGTCGTCCATGCCGACAAACCGCCGCCCCAGTCGCGCCGCCTCCAGCAGCGTCGTGCCACTGCCCGCGTAGCAGTCCAGCACCGTGTCCCCCGGCTCCGAAGAGGTCAGGATGATCCGCTCCAGCATTGCGGCGTTCTTCTGCGTTGGATAGCTGGGACGTTGCGGGTCCTTGTACATCCACACGTCCTGCGGCAGCTTTCCCGCCGACTGGTCCGCGTAGATTATCTTGCGCGGGTTGCCGGTCCTGCTCCATTCGATGAGGCCAGCTTCCTCCAGCTCCTCCAGCTTATCGGGCGTGTAGCGCCAGTGCCGCCCCGCCGGTGGCGGCATCCCTCGCCACAGGCCGCCCGTGGGGCCGCGTCGTGTGATGCCCGGCGCGTGCAGCGGCGTGGTGGCGTAACGCCGGCCCGTGTCGTCCACCAGCGGATAGCGCGAGACCGCGTCCTCGTCGGTAAGCGGCTCCTCCTGCGGATGCCACTTGATGCGGTTCGGCGACACCGAGTAGAAGAGGACCGTGTCCTTGATGTTCCCGTACGAATACCGGTTGAAGTTCTTTGGGTTGCACTTGATCCGCGTGATACTGTTCCGGAAGTTACGCGCCCCGAACACCTCGTCCATCAGCAGCCTGACATGGTGTTCCATCTTGACGTCTGTATGAACGTAGACCGAGCCGTCATCCGCCATGACCGACCGGATGGCCTCAAGCCGCAGGCGGAGCTGCTCCAGGTAGTCATCGCCTGTAAGCGTATCGGCGTAGGCCAGTTCCCCCGATGCGCTCACGGTGTTGGCTCGCTCGGAGTCCATCAGGAATTCGTGGTTGGTGGCGAAAGGCGGATCGACGTACACCAGGTCAACCCGCCAGCCCGACTCGGCGAGCTGTGCCAGCCCTTCGAGGTTGTCCCCGGCGTGAAAAAGGTGCTCCATTCAGCCCTCTCCCGGCATGGTTCCCCTACTCTACATAAGTCCAGGCCCGCAAACCACAAAAAACCCTCCTTTGCGCTTGCGAAAGGAGGGCATGAGGTCCTGGAACTCTCGTCAACCTAAGGGAAGAGTTGCTCTCCGGTTTCCGCATCCATCACGCTGATTGCGGCCATGGGGCACTGCTCGGCGGCATCGAGGATGACCTCCTCCGTATCGGCGTCAACGTCGGCCGGGATTGCCTGCCGGTCGTCATTGAGCGTGAACGCCTTCGTGGCGATGGAGACGCACATCTGATTGCCAACGCACAGGTTGTGGTCGACCGATACACTCAATTTCCTGGCCATTTTCTCCCCCAGCATTGCGGGATTAGGCTGCCCGGCAGCCTTGTGTCTCTCTTCTGACTAGCGTCCGGCCAACCCGGAAAAGGTGGCCGCATTCTAGCAGTGGCCCATACACCGGTCAACCGCAAAATGAAGCTGGCGCCAGTGCCTCCCTTCCGGTGCGGAGTGTCATGTACGGAGTGTCCATGGCCGGCCGTTGTAGTCATTACAGGACCCGTCTTGGTTACGCTTCTTCGGCACGTGAAATACCTCAGCCGGCAGATCGTGAACGGTGCTACCCAACCCTGTGCCCTTGCTGTGACGGTGCGGAGCCCCGCCGGTGTCATCCTGAAAGAAGCTAAGGACAAGGCAGCGAAGGATCTCTTCTCTACGGGTGGCACTCTTCCCGTTGCACAGAAATAAAGGCTACCACTATTACTCTGCGATCACCCTGAATTCCTGGCAGTTCCCAGTGCCTTCGGTTTTCCGGCACGGCGCCAGTCCGGTCATGTGAGCCGTCGAACCACGAACGACGTACGGTTCATCAACAAGCTCAGTGCAAAAGGAGCTCTTAATAATCGAAAGACCCCGGGACAGTTCCGCCTTGCCGATGTATTAGAATACATGTACTATTATCTGACAGCCTACAGGATTCCCGAGCCACCTCCAGTGAGGCGGCCCAGCCCGAGTGGCAGCAAATGCCAGGAAAATCAAAAAACCCGGGCGGCACGCCCAAGGACCACTGCACCCCGTATCGCGGAATATGGCAAATAAGCGGAAAATCGCTGGAAAATGAGCGGAAAAAACAGAACTGAGGAAGCTCAGCGCATCGCACCTCCCACCCACAATGCTGTGTGTTTTAGTCAGGAGACCGGATGGCATCTTCGTAGACCATATCCTGCTCTCCACAAATGCTAGCTCACGCCTGCCGCAGTCAGGTCTATATCTCCCTACGAAGCGTGCGTAGCCGTAGGAAATCGCCCGCAACTGGGACGATAAACGCGGTGGGACAATGGGACCAAAATGGAGCACGGGATCAGACGGAAATCTGGCCCCACGAGAACGGGCACCGCAGATACGACGGAACGCGAATTCTGGGACAAGTGAGAAACTATAGGGACTTTCATCATCGGAAAATCTGTCACTAGTTTCTCCACCAGTCCCATCACCCTTCTCCCCTTCGCGAGTTATCCCTTTCTCTCACACTCGGATTAGAACGCGTACTCGAGCATTCCTCAGTCGCGCAAGTCATTCCCCTGGCCAAATGCGATGCTGCAGATAAGGGTGGCTCGTAGGCACGTCAGCAGTCCGTGTACCGATCACCGTAGTAAAACGCCGACAAACCATATGAGAGCAACACCAATGAATCCGACTACATACGTTGTCGGCGAGAGGTACCGCCCGGCCTGCATCGATGCCACCAGAGGCTGTCCGAGGACCGGAAAAGTCAGAATACCTCCCTGCTGGAGGCAGGCCCCGACTGTCCCCCGACTATAGTTCGCACAGCGCACCCCGGACGATTACTCAGCGCTGGCTGTGGGTCTCGGTAAACCTACGAGCTGAAAACCAACGCAGCGCGCCACAGCCAGTTCTCCCTACAACTAAGGTCCTTCACCGCGGCATCTGACGAGCAGGCATGCCCGTTGCCACCGCGGGTCAAGGTGCTGGCGCTCCAGTGCGGCCATTACAACCAACGGCCAGACCATTCATCGATACCAGCTGCGACGCCCCCGAGGACATTTGACACACTATGGCCTCCTGTGGCAATGAGGGATGGTCCGTACAGCTGTACTGCCTGCCCTACTTGGTTTTTTTTTGTTTTCTTGTATTTCTTTTTTTTTTCTCAATCTGGAAATGACGACTGCCGAAAACTTCCTGACGACTTCACGGCAAACCCGAGCTGCCCGGTTCCGGTACCCACCACCATCGGGAGAACCTGGCCCGTGACCCAGGAGCTTTCTCCAGCCGCCACCGCCGCCGGGTACCCTTCCATCCCGATGTGAATCACCCCGAGGCCACCGGCGTGAGCCTGCTCGGCCGATAACAACATCGACTGCGTGCTGTATGAGCATGGCCCTGGCCTACATCGATTCGTGGCGTCACGCCTGAACCTCACCTATCCGCGCTACCGTCCAGGCCAACCGTATCTTGATGGAAGGACGGTCTCGGAGGTAGGCGGGCGGTCTTCATGAGGTGGAAGCGACTGCGAGACTTTCGTCGTCGAAGGAGCGATATCATCCCT